CCTGTTGTTATAAACCATACTGGATTAGAATCAACAATAGAAGGAATAAAAGTTAAATTTGAATTTATTGATAAACGAAAAATAAAAGAAATAAATAATGTAAAACAAAACATACAAAACAAAGAAACTTTCTTATATCAATTAAAAGCTGAAATAAAATATAAAACAATTGAAGAACAGCTGTTACTACCTGAAATTCAAAACACGATAAGTAAAATACAACAGCAAATTGAAAAAGAAATCTGTAGTGATTTACCAACTGCTTTTTGGAATCGACATAAACATATAGTATCACTACCATATGAAGAAAGCTTTTCTGAATCTAAAATACCAACTAAAGCCCAACCAATTCAAATGAATACAAGAATGTTAGAAATATGAAAAAATGAAATAGATTCTCTTCGTAGCTAAAGGATTAATTAGGCCTAGCTCGTCACCATGGAGCGGTGCCGCCCTCTACGTAGAAAATAATGTCGAAAAGGAACGAGGAGTTCCCAGACTAGTCATCACTTATAAATCACTAAACAAAGTTTTAAAATGGATTCGATATCCAATTCCAAATAAAAAAGATTTATTAGGTAGACTTCTAAATGCCTGCATTTTTTCAAAATTTGATTTAAAATCGGGATATTGGCAAATACAGATTAATGAAAAAGATCGATATAAAACGGCATTTAATGTTCCCTTCGGACAATATGAATGGAACGTTATGCCATTTGGATTAAAAAATGCCCCATCTGAATTCCAGAAAATTATGAATGATGTATTTAATCCCTATCTTAAATTTATGATAGTCTACATTGACGATGTTCTTATTTTTTCTATTGACATACATCATGTTAAACATTTAACTATATTCCTTAATGCTGTCAAAACTGCGGGACTTGTAGTCTCTGCTAAAAAATTAGCTCTTTGCCAAACAAAAATTCGATTCTTAGGACATAATATATTCCAAGGCACGATCATTCCTATTGATAGAGCTATTGAATTTTCTAATAAATTTCCTAACGTAATCTTAACAAAAGTCAAATTACTGCGCTTTTTAGGTTGTTTAAATTATATAGCAGACTTTATTCAAAACTTTGCTATTATTGCCAAACCATTATTTGATCGACTAAAAAAGAATCTTTCAAAATGGACAGATCAACATACTAATGCTATTCGAATCCTGAAAAGCAAATCAAAAGAAATACCTTGTTTAGTTTTAGCTGACCCTACTGCATTTAAGATTATTGAATGTGATACTTCAAAACTTGGTTTAGGAGGAATTCTTAAACAACGAATTGACAACAAAGAACAATTAGTACGATACACATTTAAAGCATGGAATTCTACACAACAAAATTATTCGACTATTAAAAAAGAAATTTTAGATATCGTTCATTGTGTGAATAAATTTCAAAGCGATATTCTTAATGCTTCTTTTCTTATTAGAACAGACTGTAAATCTGTTAAAGATATCTTGCAAAAAGATGTTCAAAATCTTGTTTCCAAACAAATTTTTGCTCGTTGGCAAGCTATTTTATCTGCCTTTGATTTTTCTATTGAACATCTTCACGGTTCTGCTAACGCTCTCCCTGATTTCCTCGTGAATTTTTGCAGGGGGGTCCAGATTTACCACCACCAACGTTTGAGTTTGAAGAAGCCTCATTAGCAATACAATTGTTCAATATGAATATTAATACTAATCAATAACCAGGAAAGAATCTAAAGACTTTAATGGATCTTGTCCCTATAGTAACACCCGGTTCACCTATATCTATGCACTCACCTTTATCACCAACCAGATCTCTTAATTATCCTGAACAGTCTACCCAAATTCCAAGTCCAATATTTACTACTGTACTTAACCAAAATAAACCAACCAGTTCTACCTCACAAAAGGCAGTTTTTGAAGAAACAACCTTTTTAATAGATATTACTATTATCGATAAGCATATCCAAATAGACCCAACTAAGCTGGCACCGTTGTATCTCCAAAATCATCATAATCCCTCTAATGGAAACAAAACCCGAGAATGGTATGAAACCGTTCTCATGGAAACAGGCTCTATATCCCTTGTTCATTTCTTTAATCCTACTACAAAAGTTATTTCGTACTCTAAGATACAGATAAAGAAAATATTATCGTATGAAGATTGGGGATGTACCCCAACGCAAGGAAAAAAGCTGCAAGCACAAGAATTTCAATACAAATCTTATAGATATACAGAATATGTAGATGCTTGGCACAAAATATTTGCCTATCAAAATAGGAATAATTCTCATACATGGTATATACAATTTAAGATGCCTATTCTTGAAAGATTCCCGAGTTAGTTAGATATTGGTTCTTAATATGGGGTTCAGGAACCCAAATATTACCTGATGCATTTAAAAATGCTTAGGCTAAATTCGTTGAATAAAATAGTATATATACAGATATAGATTATCATTTATATTTTATGGCAATACACCAAATACCTTGGATTCTCAAGTGGGAATATGGCATTTCTGAATATACCAGCAATAATTATGAGTATATCCCTCGATTGGGAAAACGAATATCAATTAAATGGTGGGATGTTTTCAGTATAGATCCAAACTCAATTAGACTGAAACGGATACTTCCTTCCCATACCGAATATCAGACTAATAATACTCCTGAATTTGACCCAAATAAATTCGCCGAATATATTAGACAAATGCGTAAGCAAAACCCAAGAGCTACGAAAGAAGAACTTGAAACCCAACTGTTAAGAATAATTGAAGAACAAGCTTAAGATGCTACCTCTCAGCCCGAACCAATAGAAGATGAGTTCAACCAACGGCCCGAATAAACCAAAGGCCGGCATAAAGCCACTAAGATTCTGTAAAGAAACTAGTACAAGGATTTCCTGTACGAAGAAAACCAGTACAAAGATTCATGTACAAAGATTTTCAAAAGCAAGATGCTCCTGCCACCTCAAAAGAAGATGCTGCCGTACAAGAAAATGACAAAAGAAATACTATTGAAGATGCCACTGACACTGTCCAAAATACCTTTAACCGACAAAGACATTGCGCAAGATACCTTTACTTTTTACTTTATATCAAGTCTAGCTTTTCTTTTACGTCTTCTCTTCTTTTTCTCGACACGTCCCTTCTTTTTATCCTTTTTTTTTATCTTCGCGAATCTTCCACCTCAGCCTCTCCGCGTTTATCTCGACTTTATGTCACCTCCCTGTCTCTTTGAGCCTCATCGAATCTTCCACCTTAGCTGCTCCGCTCCTATATAAAAGCCCATCAAAACCTTCATTCGAAGGCAGGTCGAAATCTCCATCTCTGCGATCTCTTCTCTGCACTCTCTCTTCCCTACTTGCTCAACACATCTTTCTGAAAGCTCTGTCGACTTCTCTTCCTTGAGGCAAGCCCTTATTGAGTAAGATCTTTTCATACTCCTTTTGTTTATACGATGTACACAGATGTATGATTGTACGTAAGATCTTTTCATACTTCTTTTGTTTATACGATGTACACAGATGTGTAATTGTAATTTACATAAAGTACCTTCGTTCTATCCGGACGAATGGGCACTCTTTTCAAGTTACTGCATTTAAGTGATTTGTTATTGCCTTTGTTTCTGTACCTATTTGAACTATGTAAAATAAAGCTTCTTTATATGCAGTTTAAATTAACTTTTAGCATAAAGATTCGAAATAGTATCCATACTACTTGGATTATGGTAGACATCTCTGTAATTTCTCTTATCATCATTCTGTGCTGCTTTTTATATTATACTACAATTTTACGTTCACTACTAGACTATACTACAGTTTTGCGGTCATTACTAGACTATACTACGGTATTTTCAATGTTATTAAGTTAAAAGTGGAATTTAGATCTTGGCGTGTTATTGTTAAGATAAAAGTGGAATTTAGATCTTGGCGTGTTATTGGTATCAGAGCCAGTACTACTTCGTTGAACTATTACAATTAGCCTACTTTTTGTGGCCGATAGTCTTTTAGATGATAAGATTGTAATAAAATTAGCTATTTATACGGTAGTTTGAGAGTTAAGACTCATTGTCGCCCAGTCCTCAAGACCATTTAGGCCAAGAAGAGCCGTCCAGGTCGTTCAGACGTAAGAGGTTGACTAGAGTCATTATCCGTACCGATAAATGGAAAATTTTATTAAAACCTTATCTACTAAAACACTATCATCCTCAAAAAATACGCTAAGGGTAAAAAATAAAGAAGAAGTAGTTATAGACAATGTTGACCACCACATCCAAAATTGGAATATACCAAAAGTCCCAATTTCAGATGTTTATAAAAAAGGAAATTTTAATTTAAAAATAGGCTACGCTATTAAAACAGTAGAACAAAGTTTACCTGTTCAAGAGGAACAAGAAAATCTATAATTATTAACAAATAAAATATTACAATCTCATAAAAATAAAGAACATCAATATCTTCATATAAGGTTAATACAAGTAGCGGTAAAACCGTTAACTAGACTAGAATTAAATACTTCTATCCTATTATGCCTACGAGATGAACGGCACAATAATTTTTCTGATTCACTTTTAGGGATAATTGAGTCAAGTCTATGTAATGGACCAATTTATTTTAATTGTTTTCCAAATTATGCCATCTCTTTACAAGACCCTAACTTACTTAAAGTGTTAACTTTAAATACACACAAAGTTTTGATATGTTACAAGGATCTCAAAATATAGCTATAATTTTTCAAATATATTATAAAGTAATGACTACTTTATGTTCGAATGTTATACAAATAGATACTAAAGGACAAACGACTTTCTTTCAAACAAATTCTGAAAGATCAAATATTATAATTCCTAAAACAATACAATGGTCTCAAATAAAACTCCCACAAGAATGAAAGATTCAAACATCTAATCATTCAGTAAAAACTCCAAGAAATAATATTCAAAATCAAATCATTGAACATATAGATGGCGAAATAGAAATACAATTTAATAAACGATCTTCTTCTGTAATTAGTACGGATGATACTTATCTTCCTTCACCAAGACAATCTTTACCATCAACCTTCTTAGCCTCACGAAAATCTGTTTCTAGCATCACCAGACCAGAAACCTCTTCGTCCTTAGAACCTGAAATACAAGGACTAGTAAGAACTCAGGAAAATATACTTAAACCAGTATACCAACCAATCTACAATGAATCACCAGATACTGATTTTTAATTATTAATATTACGAAAAGAAAATAAAGTAATTAGAGATTATATAAAACAAGACTATGTAAGTGAAACTAAGAAAATTTTTTGAGATTGGTATTTAACCACTTTCTCAAAAGAATTAATTAACTTAACTCATAAACGATATAATAAATTTTTGAAAAAAGAAAAAATAACTTTAGGATTTTTTGAATGGCTTAAAACAACATAATTATTAAAAGGAATAAAAATCCCTGAATTCAAACTACATACCCTTGAAAATCAATATGAAACCTATATTACGAGTCAACAAAAACATATTCGCAATATTCATCCCCCCGAAGAAAGTATAAAGATAATAGATAAAAAACAGGAATTAGAAAATCTAGCTACTCCATATAAAACACTTCCTGGAGAAAATTATCTTAAAATAAAATTATTACCCCATTTGGTTGAACAAAATAATTGTACAAATTTATACTTACAGACTATAGGAAAACAAACAACAAGAATAGAAAATAGTATACGACAACCACAAGAAAAACTAAAGGAAAAGAAAAAAGCAATATTATTCAAACCTCCTCCTCAAATTAACAGAGAAAGATTTCAAATAAAAGAAGAACCCTCTGACTTAATGCAACAATTAATTAATAAATTAGCACAACTTGAACTAAAAAAAACAGCAATAAAAATAACAGAACCATCAGCCATGATGTTACATGAAATACCAGAAATACCAAATAATATTACAAATATTAAAGATGCTTTTACACAATCATCCCAAGAAACTAATATCAATAGGATAGATTACGGTAAAAAATGGAGACCAGTATCCCTATCTAGAATGTACCATACAAGACCTACTCCCGTTGATATACAGTTTGAAGAAGATCTTGTATTCCACACTCTTTCATATTCCGGACAAACAATTGTTAACTGGAATATAGATGGAATGTCTGACCACCAAATTCTAGAAACAATGAAACACATGACTATGTATGCCACTGCATGCAAAGTCTTTGGGGCTCACGATCAAGATGTAGCTAAAGCTATTATTTGTGGTTTTACTAGTTGGCTCAGAGGATGGTGGGATTTCCACCTTAATGATATATCAAAACAACAAATCTTAACTACCACCAAACATTCTTATATTAAAAATGAAGCTAATCAAGATATCTTACAATCAGAAAGTCATGCAGTTAATACTTTAATATATACAATCACTCTTCACTTTGTAGGAAGTACTGCCCTACTAGAAGCCAGATTCGAAGATCTGTTAAATAATCTTCGTTGTCCAACTCTTTCCCACTATAAATCGTATAAAGATGTTTTCTTTTCTCGTCTCTTAATACGTGAAGATAGTAGTGCCGATCATTGGAAAGAAAAATTCATCTCTGGCCTTCCCTATTTATTTGCTGAAAAAGTTTGTAATCGCCTCAAAACAAAACATGGGGTATTATTCCCTATTCTCTCTTTACTTTAGGAGAATTATCAGCCGAAATATGTGCAGAAGGGTTATCTCTCTGCACTTATTTAAAATTGAAAAAACAACTTGATAAACAAAAAATGACTGGCGAAACGAAACTAGGAGACTGTTGCGAACAATTAGGATATAGTTTTAATCTTTCCCAGAATAAACCTCATAAACATAGAAAGCTAGAAAAAAGACAAAAATCAAGTAAAAAACTCTATCTCTCAAATAAGAATATCAATACAAATATCAATATCAATACAGTTTGCAACTCTTTCTCTCAAATAAGAATATCAATACAAATATCAATATGAATCCTCAATCTCCAGATACCAAAGGAAAACATCCAATGGATTTAGTCCCAAGTAATAGGTATGGGCCTCTTATACCCACCCAATCCTCTCTTAACCTAACACCCATGTCACCCCTTCGATCTTCGAACGTACCAGAATACTTAATACAGACTCCTCCACAGAGTCCAATATCTACTCCAAGTCCGGCGTTTTCCCCGGCATCATACCCACATAAACAAACCTCAACCTCTGCCAAATCCGTTTACATAGATACTG